GGTCCCGGGGGGAAGCAAAGGAGTCCTGCAGCAGCACATCATCCCGGGTGCTGCCGGTACCCGTTATACCCCCGGAGGGGGAGAGGGCCCGGAGACAGCATCCAGCACAAAGCTCCTGGGACTTGGATGGGCACGGGGCTCTCGGTGACCACAAAACGTTAGGGGGTAGGCAGCGCTGGGCTATGGCTGAGCAGCTGCGTGTGTGTGCACCGAGGTGCTGTCACCAAATGATGGATGCTAAACCAGGCAGAGCAGCGTCACTGCAGGAGGGGTCAAGTCAGTACTTCAGCAGATGGAGGAGGAATATGTCTGTGTGCACTCCATTCTGCCAAGGACTGTGCAAGTTACCATAGCACCTGGTATGACAAGGGCCCTCAGCACTTCCATATCTTCCAAGAAGGCTGCTGATGATAAGGATTGCAAATGCTCATATTCTTTGATAATAGGTTCTATTTAAGATGACCAATTTAGTGCTATGGGATCTTTTACATCTGTTCTCAGTAATGACCACTGTGTCGGTCAAATTTCAGCCTAGTAGTTATATTTTACCTAATAAAGTTAAGACATCTTGATATCAGTTTCTCATTCCCAGGTCTCAACAGTTGCCAGGACTCAGAACAGTTGCGATGCTGGGGTGGGGGTGGCTTCCACAACAGCCTCCATAACCACTGACACTGCTGCGATCGATCATTACAACCTTAACAGTAAATAGGTTAAAACAGACATTCACTGCCTCTCGAAGTGAATGTCTCAATCTCAGGTCAGAGAAGCTACCAATATACACACAAGTACTACATTTACCTGGTGATCTTGGGTCCATCCAGCACATGCATTTAGATTAAAAAAGAAAATCTTCTAGAAATAAACTGAATTAATACAGACAAAACACACCATTAACCTGTTTGCTGAAAGGACTGGTATCTCCAGGCTTCCTACAGATGCTTAGTTCTAGGATTAAAAGCAATATTCACTTTTTAGAATTACACTGTTTGTATTTCAAGTGCTGCTTTTTTGTGTATACATCTTACCTGAAGCTCACACAAGGTGGTATTAGAAGACATTAAAGGCAACTACACTATTTCATGTAGACTCATCTGCTTTGAGTTTTTGGTACTTTCTCAACTGCTGGACACTAAGAAATATATCTTACAGCAGAACTACACTGTGAACCTGATCCATTGCTGGCATCTGCTTAAGAATGAACAAACAGACAAAGAGATTATAAATATATAACTGTATTTTATTTTTAATATTAAATATTTTTAAATTACAAGCAGTTTCTTGAATCACACTATGCATGATAATCAATATACAGTAGAAATTACAATTTAAAAATGTACACAATTTAAAGACATTTTGACCTGAAATTTCATTAACTATGATATATTGCCATAAACCTCATACCTGTATTAAATTACAATAGGAAAACCTCATACCTATGATTTTGTTACATAGTTTCTCATTTACAAATAGAATTAAACATTATATATACACACACATCAGTACCATTTTATCATTTAAGTTACACCTACATCTGTGCAAGTTCAAACAATTTCATAAACAAAACTAAGTCATATTCAAGTTTCTGAAAAACAGGCTGCTGGTATTACAAATACTTATTTTCAATAAGTTTATATGATGTTTGACTCTCCTCTAGATAGTTTTTTCCAGTCTTGTACCAAAACCATTAACACACAAGGATATTTCTGTATGACTTAAAGCTGAAGTAATTTTGTACACTCTGCTCTTATTTAAGGCTATTTCTTATAAGGCTAATATACTTGGATTCCACCTTTCACCAACTCCAACAAAAATAGCCATGTCACTAACACCTGACAATGCCGACACTGTAGCATAGTGCTTAATCATAAAAGAAAAGTCTTTCTACCAACCAGCCTCCTCATGAAAAAGATTGAGTACTACATAAAAATCTGCTATAAATACTGATAAAAAGAATGAGGCTTAAATGGCTTTCATTAGTGCATCAACAAGGAGATGAAAAAATGTTTGATTCGCTTGTTTCCATGAAAATGGCAGTTTCCATAAACGCAGTTGGACACACAACAGATGTGTGGCTTGGGGATTTGGGAGGGTACAGGTGTTCCATGAAAACCGGACACTCTTCTCGCTCTGTTGGCTTCTCATGACAGATACTAATTTTTAAGCAAACTTCCTTAGGTGGGAAAAATCAGCTCTTTTATATTACTTTAGTAGCCAAATTGAGACAATGCCTTTCATTATTCACATAATCATGGTATTCCACTAGAGAGGGAATTAAAATGTTAGCAGTCCTCATAATAAACCATTGAAAATAGATACATGTACTTCTAAACTGGAAACCATGCCTAAGTAGCTAGTGCAAGAAATTACATATGGTTTCATGAATTTGTAATAAATCCCCTTATTATAATGTAACATGTTTGGAATTATCAATTCATCTTCACTGTGCCACTGACTGCTAGGTAGATATTTAAATATTGCTAATAGTTGATCAGAGTTTTAACTATAGTTTTTTTCCAAATAAAGACCATTGCTATTATTGTAATCCAGTCTACTGGATTACTGAAATTAAAATTCACTTTTAAGTGAGGTGAGTCAGCTTAAATGTTTCTTTCTTTTAACTTCTCTTCTGGGAACAGGTTGCTTAGAGAAGCTGTGGCTGCCCCATACCTGGCAGTGTTCAAGGCCAGGCTGGATGGGGCTCGGAGCAACCTGGTCTAGTGGAAGGTGTCCCTGCCCATTGCAGGGGGTTGGAACTAGATGAGCTTAAAGGTCCCTTCCAACCCAGACCACTGTACAGCTAAAAAGGACATTACCTTGCTTATCATCATACATATCCCAGCTCATTCTGGAAAAAATGCTCCTTTATCAACTCATTAGCAAATTTAGACAAAGGAGTAAACTTCACTTCCTACATAAGATTCTCTATAAATTTCAATCAAGCAAGGGAAATTCTTGATGTGCAAGATAAATATACGATTTTCCAGAATGATAAGAAACAAAATGCACAACCAGCTTGTAATATTCTGGAGTATAAGCTTTTATTTAACCTTGGGCTGTATTTTAAATCAAATGATTCAAAATTAAGGCTGAACTTCAGGTCTGATAGATTTTTCACCACGCAAGGCAGATAAGCCCAAACATGCTTTGCAGACCATTACAGAGTTTCATTCTTACTGTGGTGAGGATTATAGAAGACAGAGAAGATACCTTAAATCTAGCTGTGTCAAGGAGCTTGATGTTGGAATTATGAAATTTCTAAGCAATAGTTTGTGCACAAAGTCTATTACCTATATTTTAAATACTGAGAGTAGCGCACAGCTTCCTTAAACCGTCTATAGTATACACTGTAAGCCTGTACAAAGAACTACGTGGCTTTGCCTCTTAAATCACATTTTTGGAAGAAGTCCACGAAAAAATGCAGTTCCTTACTTCATACCAAAGAACAGTTCTGACTAACTCTGAACCTGAGTGCCTCGTCAGAAAATGTCATCTCAACAATACATTGGCAACGTTAAAGAACATTATCACTATGTCATTCCCTTTTGATCGGTATGGAAGCCATTCTTGTTAAGGGCTAAATAATGCTGGGAAAAAAACAATTAACATATTCCCATCATTTTAAAACATACTTTAAAAAAAATAAAAAAATCAAAATGCATATAGAGGTATACAAAACCAAACTTTACACATCTGAAAATATCTAGTCCTCCCATACTTCATGTGATGAAAAGTCTCTGGTGACTGGATCTGGACACAAAGCACTTGGATCACCCTTATCTGAAGCCCTGCCAAAATAACCACTAAAATACAAAGTGTTTAGTATGTTAGTACATTTGTATTTTAGGACACTAAGCCAGGTAAACTCTTCCTATCAGTGTTTTCTTCTGATCTGCAGCTGCATAAGGTATTCAAAGAGGTCAGGGATTTGTTTCTCAACTGAACTCATTCTGGAGTAGTAACTAAGGATTCCTCCTCCCCATCCAGCAGTTTAAAGGATTAAACTAGCTATATGCATGGTAAAGTATGAAGGTTAAACATGCCCACACTGTATTCCCTTCCCTACAGACAGCTTCAGAGCAAACTTTATTATACTGTATCTTTTGGTCAGTATGTATTTCAATATATACCATGGAGTCTTGCAGACAACTTAAAATAGGTTTGGCCTTAGAAAGGGTTCAAAACTGGGCATTAATCATCAATCTAACCCCTAACTGTTACAACATCACTGAGAGGTAGATTTACCACAGGCCTCTGAATGGCAGCCCCAATCTACAGTCAACAGAAGAGTGAGCTTCAAAATTCACAGAATGTACAGCTGAAGGGCCACGTGTGCCCAAATCCATTCCATTGAAATTAGTCTTTTTATAAGATTCATAAATTCCACAGTTTTGTACAGCCAATTTTTCCACTGCTCTCACCAAGGCAGAAACTGTAGTAAAAACTGGAAGGCCCTTTTTTAATTATGATATAGTCAGATGCTATTACAGTTTAAGCAGTCAGTAGGATTATGTTCAGGAATTAAGAGACATTATCTCTTACATCTAAAAACTCCAGAGTATATCATATATATTCTTTTCCAGTTTCCTATAAAACATGAACACTAACAATCAATCTATAATCATTATCATTTAGAAATGGTACTGAACATAAGATTTCAGCAAGTCTAACATAACACTCAGAAGTTATGTACGCTTTACAAGTACCGTGCATAGCAAAGGCTACAAAAAGGACAAATTAAACTGGATAACTGGGCCAATTCAACTTGTCTTATTCTCCTTGAAAGATTTTGATTCTGTACATCAGTAAATAAAGGAAGAATAATTCATAGTGCAATTGTAATAAGCAAAGTAATATGTAGTGATATCCTCTTGAATAAATATGGCTCACTACTGATCAACTATTATCCATACGGTTTCAGCAACACAGCCACCTGTTGCACAGGACAGTTATACACAGTTCTACAACAGGTGTATGTTCAAATAGATAATGAACTACATGGAAAAATATAAAAAGAATATTATACAATCTCATACATAAACCAGACTGTAGTGTAATTGCTTTACTTGTTTAAGTTATCTGAAAAATACTTCAAGTACTTGAAAACAGCGGCAGAATAATCTTTCAATGAAAAGCAAAATTGCACTGATTTAAAAATACATTACAAAGTTAAATACACATTCAAATTAATGTCCTGATTTAACATTGCTTTCAGTGTTTACTTTCATTTCTTAGTACTTTTTGATTACCTGCGTTACTTCAGGAGGATCCAGAGATGAAGAAGTTTTAGACACAAAGTCTGTGTGTTTTCCGTATGTAGTCCGAGGAAGTTTAAATTTAATCTTTTTCTCCATCTTCACTGCTTCCTGTTAATAGAGGAAAAGTCATATGGTACCATGAGATTCTTCTGCACAACCCTCTCTTCCTTGCAAGGCTCTTCCTACAGCTTGGCATTCTGCCCTTTTGCACTTCCAAGTTGTGG